AAATAGGGTCTGCTGGTTCTGTTTCATGAAGATCATTTGTATTTTCATGCAAATCAAAAACAGTGGAAGATGCAGTTTCAAAATCCTGTTCTAGAAATGTTTCTCGGATAAAAGGTGGTTGACTAGATTTATGTAAAGTAAAAAGAAAAAGATATTCATGGAAAACCACATCACAATAAATATGAACAGATTTGGAATGTAAATCATACAAAATGTAACCCTTTTTTGTAGTAGAGTAACCAAGAAACACACAAGGAGTAGATCTAGGAGTGAAATTGTCATGGGGAATCAAATTGGTAGCATATACGAGGCATCCAAAAACTTTCAAGTGGTTCAACTTAGGCTTATGACCAAAGAGCTTCTCATAAGGTGAGAGAGCATCTAAGACTTTAGTGGGTAATCGATTTATGATGTAGACTGTAATTTTGACTGCATAACCCCACAAATAGTCTGGAATATGTGATTGAAACTTTAGGGATCTAGCTATGTTAAGTATATGCATGTGCTTACGCTCTTCAACTCCATTTAGTTTTGGAGTGTACACACATGTGCTCTGATGTATGATACCCAAACCAACCAATAAATCATGACATTGATGATTGAAAAATTCCAAACCGTTGTCAGTTCTAATGCATTTGGGGGTCTGATTATGTTGATTTTTGACCATGTGAAGGAAATCTTTTAAGTTTTGATACACATCAGATTTGTATTGCATAAGGAAAAGCCATGTAGTCCTAGAGAAGTCATCTACTATGGTGAGAAAAAACTTAGGCTTCGTTTGGTTCAAGATTGGGAATACTACTCTTAGTATTCCCAAAAAAGTTAAACAGTAAAATACCCCAAAACTCTCATTTTTAGGAATACTATTTTCAATATTACTCAATTTTTTTTAAACCCTCTAAATTTGTTAATTTAATTAAATACCCCTAAATATTTTTTTTAAATTACAAAAATACCCCAATAATCCACATTTACCAGATTCCAGCTACCACCACCGGAAAATGGCCGAAATCTGGTAGGATGGCGCACTACCGGCTGAATCTGGCTGGTAGTGCGCCGATCTAGCCTTTTTCGGCCATATCCACGGTGGATCTGGCCAGAAAATGCCAAATCTAAGGCCAAAGATCTGGCCGTTGACGTACAGATCTTTGGCCATAACAGTCGATCACGACGGCCAACAAACGGTCGTCGTTGACCATCAACGACGACCATTTGTTGGCCGTCGTTGAGAGCAAATATGGCTAGATCTGGCGGTTGACGGCCAGATCCACCGTGGATCTGGCCGGAAAAGGCCATATTGGCGCATGACCGGCAAGATCCAGCCGGTCATGCGCCCATAAGGCGACTCCGACCACCTCCGCTGGTGGTGGTCGACTGGGGGTGTTTGAGGGTGGGTTAGGGGTATTTTTGTTAACTTTTAATGTTTTATTATAGGGGGTATTTTGTAAAAAAACAAATATATGGGATATTTTATTAATTTATAAATCCTACATCGTAATACCCGCCCAATTCAACTTTTTTTTAACTTTTTTCAAAAAACTTTTCCCAAAACCCCCAAATTTTGAACCAAACGGAGCCTTAGCATTTCCTTGGGTTGGGATCTTATAAGGTCCCCAAACATCTAAGTGTAACAACTCAAAGACATTTGATTTATGTGTTTCACTTAAGGCAAATGGTAACCTGGTTTGCTTTGCTAAAGGGCAAATGTCGCAGTGAAAATTAGAGTGTGCATGGAATTCATGATGTAATTTTTGTAGGACTGGTAAGGGTGCATGTCCTAATCTCCTATGCCAAAGTACAATATCATTACTATATAGTGTTGTGGACATTACTAAAAGTCATTTTATTTATGAATCAAAGGTTACATCACAAGAATTACAAACAGAATTCTTTATTCCTAAAACTGGAAGACAATGTTTTATTTGTGAAAAAGGTATAAAATGGTGTAGCCCTTGATATTGCTTACCAGTCCCCTTGAGTTTGCCATTCTAAAGATCCTGGATAACACAAAAATCCAGATAAAATGTGATGGAACAGTGACTTGATGCAGTTTATTTGGATATCGACATCAAATTATACTTAAAATCTGGTAAATATAAAACATATTCAAGAGCCAAATTTTCTTGCAATTTTACAAAACCAACATGAGTGATTGGTGTTTTAGTTCCATTAGGAAGTCCTGCATAACTTGTTACAGGTGGACTAATAGCTACAGAACATTCAAGGTTTTGGAAATCATGTGTCCCCAAAATCAAGAACCCAATCAGAATTATTAAATTTTGAGTATAGAGACACAACTATACCTGCCAGATTAGCAAATAATGAACCCATGTTCTCTTTCCCCAACAACTAAAGTAGTTGTGCATACTACTCTGGAGTTAACACATTGCCGAGATTAGCTCCTCCTTTGGTATTGTCACCTACTATTTCAGAGTTCACCAACTAATCCTGAGTCGAATGGACTTGATTAGCCTTAGATTTTGTCCTTGACTAGCCCTTGGTGAACACAAAATTAGTTGGATAACCGTGTAGTTTATAATAGGTTTCCCTCTTATGCCCTAGAGCATGGCAGTAGTCACACTCCATGTAGGGTTTCTTCCCCTTGTATTTTGAGCTTTGATTCTAATTCCTCTTAGTGCCTTGTGAATATAGCGTTGTAGTAACCTCAATGTTGTAATTAGAACCAGTCAAGACCTCTGGCTTTCATCCTGATGTACTATGGAATATGCTTGCTTGATTGAAGGCAGAGGGACCATCAATAAGATCTGACTCCTTACCAAGGTGTACGATTCATTAAGTCCCATTAGAAACTGCAAAAGCTTCTACTGATTGAGATGAGCCAAATATGCCTTGGCTGAATCACTGTCTGGAGGTGGTAGACTCACTAACGAACTCAGTTCATCCTACAAAGTTTTCAATCTGTTATAATAAACCACAATCGAACTCGTACCTTATACTAGATTAGCAATTTCCCTGTGAATCCCAAACACTCTTGTACCATTCACTTTATTGTATTGTTCTTGGAAATCCTGCCAAACTTGATACGCACTGTTTGAATACACAATACTGTTGAAAATGTCTTTTGAAACAGTATTAAAAATCCATGCCAAAACTAGAGAATTGCAGCGTTCCCATAATGCATGCAATACTTCATTGAATTTTGATTTCTCGCAAGATCCATCAACAAATCCCAACTTATTTTTTGCCCTTAGCGAAAACGTCATGGACCAGCTCCATATCCCATAGTTCTCAGTTCCGATAAGCTGCTCTAAAATCAGAATTGAACCAGGGGTATCCGACGAGTGAATGTAAAGAAGGGAACCTGAATCTGTGATATTTGACATCTGCTGTTAATGAAATTAATTTGATCTGGAACGAATCAGCTTGATTCTGATCATAAATGGTGAAGCAGGAGAAATCAATCTTGAAAAATATTAGACGCAGCTTCGAATTTGAGCTTGAATTCGAACTTGATACAGCTTCGAACTTGAGCTTGATTCTTCAGTTGAAGTTGTTGATTTCATAGCAAAGAATCACTGCTCTGATACCATCTACGAACTTATTTGAGAGAAGATCTACGAACTCATTTGGGAGAAGAGAAAGAGAACCTGATTTTTATTATTCAAGTATGAAAAGTAAAGTAACAAACAATATCACCCTTATTACAATTTAGTAACTATGATTAATTAACCATGGTTGAAAGTAACCAAAGTAACTAATTCAACCAACTAATCTTAACTATACCTAGCTATTAACTATTACTGATTTACTAGCAAAAATAGGCATTATATATCAAGAAGAGAAAATAATAATAAGCCAATAAATGATATTAACTTGAGATTTTGCTAAACGTTGAGTGGGAATTTGTCTTATTCTTTTTTAATTAAAATAAAAATAAAAATAAAAAAATAAAAATGATGAAACTAACTGACTAAGACTTACGGATGGTAACGTTGAATGTTCGGTGACGACACTTTGTTCATTCCCATAATCCCCACAATAAAATATAAAACGTTTTCTATTTCTTCAGTAAACGACGAGACAAGAATCCTTTTCCATCTTACCATCGACTGGAACTGAAGCCCTCCATCAAACCTCTCCCTTCTGCTTCTTCAATGGCATCAAGCGACTCCGAAATCGTCAAGGAGTTTCGATTCTTCCGAGTGTACAAAGACGGTCGAGTTCAATTAACCTTTCCGCCCTTCCTCAAGGCCACGGTTCCACCGTCAGATGATCCCGTCACCGGTGTCCGATCCAAAGACGTTACGATCTCATCTGAACCTCCTGTGTCCGCCCGTATTTTCATTCCCGAAGTCACAGACCCTAAACAGAAGTTCCCTCTTTTATTCTACGTGCACGGCGGTGGCTTCTGTATGATGTCCGCCTTTGCTCCAGGCTACCATAGCTTCTGTAGCACCCTTTCAGCCGAGGCTGGGGCCATAGTTGTTTCTGTGGAGTACGGACTCTTCCCAGATCGACCCATACCGGCTTGTTACGAAGACTCGTGGGCTGCACTCCAGTGGGTGGCGTCCCACGTTAGTGGAAGTGGACCTGAACCTTGGCTAAATGATCATGCTGATTTTGGCAAAGTTTTTATCGGTGGAGATAGTGCCGGAGGAAATATCTCGCATACTTTGGCGTTCCGGGTCGGTTCAATCGGGTTACCTGGAGTGAAAGTGGTTGGGGTGATCTTAATTCATCCTTATTTCGGTGGGACGGAAGACGATCAGATGTGGTTGTGTATGAATCCAAGTAACAGCGGGTTGCAGGATCCTCGGTTGAAACCGCCCGTAGAGGATCTTGGGAAGCTCGAGTGTGAGAGGGTGTTGATCTTTGTGGCTGAGAAAGATCATCTGAATACTCCGGGGAAAAATTACCTTGAAGATCTGAAGAAAAGTGGATGGGGTGGAAGAGCTGAGCTTGTGGAGAATCATGGTGAAGAGCACGTTTTCCATATGCGTAATCCCACATGTGAAAAGGCAGTGGAATTGACCAGTAAGATTGTTTCATTTATCAAAGAAGATTAGTGTAAAAGTAGTTTGATCATTTAGCAGAGTTTGTTGGGTTATCTTCTTTGTGTAATAACTGGAGTGTGTCTTCTGACATTGATGAAATAAAATCTTTTCTTTTATCAATGCTGTTCGGATCAACTGCGTATCTTTAAAGTTGATAATAAAGTAATTTCTCTTAGTGATTAACCCTATTGATAATCTAAATAGATCAAACTCAAACCTTTTAAGTAATACACCTAAGAGTTTTAATTAATTGTTGGATTACCCAGTAATAGTTAAAATATTATATTTCAATGTAATGTTAGAAAATGACAATCTAAATTGTCATGTTGTCTGAAATTAAATTATAATCAATGTTCTAAAGCCTGGATCGAGGAGTCGCCCAGCCAAGGAGTTAGGTCCCGATTTGACTGATCCAATCGGGGGGGTCTAACCAGTGATCCGATAAATTTGAAATCTAATAAATATACCCTTAATAAATACCTATCAGTTCCTATAAGTTTAAAATCCAGCAAACACATATTTGTGATTTGGCCAAATGCAAATTGATGGTCGACAGGTTGGGCCGCAATGACACCATGGATAGCAGGGTTAGGACGTTGGGCTCGGGCATGTGATAGAAGTAGCCGATGATCAGGTTAGAGATTTTAAAACAATCCACTAAATGTAACTAGGTTAGGAGAAGGCCCTGGGTAGTAGTCCAACTGGTTGAACCGGTCGAGTCGGGCCGGGTTTCAGAACACTAATTATAATCATTTTAAGGGGATTAAAAAACTAAGACTTGTGGATGTAGGTGTTGAAGGTTCGGTGATGAGTGATAAACATTTTCTTCATCCACTTGATTTCACGATACATACAAAACGATTTCTTCCTCTGCATTAAACGACAAGACTTCCCCATCTTATCAGTGAATTGCACTGAAGCATTTCGTTAAGGTAAATTCTCTATCTTCAATGGCATCAACCGACTCCGAAATCGTCAAGGAGTTTCGCTTCTTCCGAGTTTATAAGGATGGCCGAATCGAGTCATTCTTTCCACCTTGCCCCAAGGTTCCACCGTCCGATGATCCGGTCACCGGTGTCCGATCCAAAGACGTGACGATCTCATCAGAACCTCCTGTTTCTGCCCGTATTTTCATCCCTAAAGTCTCAGACCCGAACCAAAAGTTCCCTCTCTTATTCTTAGTACATGGCGGTGGCTTCTGCGGGATGTCCGCTTTTGCTCCACGCTACCATCTCTTCTGTAACACCGTTTCAGCCCAAGCTGGGGCCATAATTGTTTCTGTGGAGTACGGACTCTTCCCGGATCGACCCATACCGGCTTGTTACGAAGACTCATGGGCTGCACTCCAGTGGGTGGCGTCCCACGTCAGTGGAAATGGACCCGAACCTTGGCTGAATGATCATGCTGATTTCAACAAAGTTTTCATCAGTGGAGTCAGTGCTGGAGGTAATATTTCGCATACTCTGGCGTTCCGAGTCGGGTCAATCGGGTTACCGGGTGTGAAGGTTGTGGGGGTGATTTTGGTTCACCCATATTTTGGTGGGACGGGAGACGATCAGATGTGGCTGTTCATGTTTCCGAATAACGGTGGGTTGCAGGATCCCCGGCTGAAACCGCCGGCAGAGGATCTGGCTAAGCTTGGGTGCGAGAGAGTGTTGATATTTGTGGCGGAGAAAGATCATCTGAATGTTGTGGGGAAAAATTACCATGAGGATTTGAAGAAAAGTGGATGGGGTGGAAGAGTTGAGCTATTTGAGAGTCATGGTGAAGAGCACGTCTTCCATATGAATAATCCAAAATCTGAGAAGGCTGTGGAAGTGATCAATAAGTTTGTTTCATTTCTGAAACAAGATTAAAGTATAATTAGTCCGATAGTTTACATAAGGGTTGCCGTTTGCAAGAGCTAAATTGTGTCTGTGACATTGATGAAATAGGACGTATGTATGGATCTGGAATAAAACGGTGTGGTACTTTTCATTTTGATGAAGATTTCATTGATGATAAATGGTTTCCTTGATTGGGAGAATATAAATCTTCGTTTCAATTGCCTTTTTTCTGTATTTTCTCAATACATTCAAAAGTGTTTAAATTATCATTTTACATTGAATTGATAGCTCAATTGAGAAGGCTAGAGGTAATGCCGAAAGTTAAATGTTTTCTCAATCCCAATCAAGATAATTAGATTTCAGGTAAGGTTTTCAAGACAAAATTCCGATAAAAACCTATTAAATATATGAGAAGAATGTTGTATCCACTTGATTTTTCAATCTTTTACTCGAATAAGTTTGCGAAAATGGCCCTGACTTGATCCAATCCATTTCACATTACCTTTGGGGATAGTAGGGTGATTCGATACGGGTTTTTAAATGTATTACTCAAGAGTTTTTTAATTTGAGTCATTTATCGGTTTCTAATTAAGGTTGTTACTTAAATTCTTATCCGATTGATAATTTTAAGGTCTAAGTAGTGACGGTGTACGTAAACTGACTCCAACAACGGACAACCCAGTTATAAACCAAAGAAAAATAATATAATAATAGTAAAGAGAAGTAAAACTCATCTGCATCTAAACAGTAATACTACGTTTACCGAGTAAATTACCGATTTTCACATACCGATGCACTTGCCCAATTCTCAAAATCTCAAATTTTAACTTAATCAGTATGTCAAATCGGTACCTTTATCGGTAACTCAAGCATTATTGGCATCTAAAACACTAGCTGCCACTTCTCATTCTCCTCTCCTCCTTTCTCATTCTCAATCTTTCAATCTGGGCACATGGCGTCTCTTTTTCTTAACCATTTTTCATCAGCATTATGCAGAAGATACAGCTTCAAAGCCGCCGTTTATGTTAACTGGTCAACACCCATCACTTCTCTATCAAAAATGGCGTCTTCTGGATCTTCAGTCAGTACTAGCTCTAGAACTCACATTCATAATAGTTCAGTCACATCTGGTCATCACCCAAATCCAATTGATCCGAACGAAGTAGCTCATGAGTTTCGCTTCTTCAGAGTTTACAAAGATGGCCGGATCGAGAAGTTCCGGTCCACCGAAAAGATCCCTCCGTCGGATGACCCGGTAACCGGGGTTCGAATTAAAGATGTTGAAATATCATCACAACCCGCTGTTTCAGCTCGTATTTTCTTGCCCAAGATCCGTGATTCGACCCGGAAATTCCCGGTTCTTTACCATGTCCATGGAGGTGGGTTCTGCTTCGAATCAGCTTTCTCTCCAATTCATTCAAAGTACCTCACTTTGTTGACGGCTGAAGCAGACGTAATCACTGTGTCGGTCGAATACGGGTTGTTCCCGGATCGACCCATACCCGCATGTTACGAGGACTCATGGGCCGGACTCCAGTGGGTGGCGGGTCATGTAAATGGGAATGGACCCGAGTCATGGTTGAATGAGCATGCTGATTTAGGACGGGTTTTTATAGGTGGAGAGAGTGCCGGAGGGAACATCTCGCACAATCTAGCTGTTCGGATCGGGACACTCGGGTTACCCGGAGTGAACGTGGCGGGTATGGTTTTGGTGCATCCGTATTTTGGAGGGACAGACGATGATCAAATGTGGCTTTACATGTGTCCATCTAACGGTCGGTTGCAGGACCCTAGGCTGAAACCGAGTGCAGAAGATCTGGCAAGGCTTGGGAGTAAAAGGGTGTTGATATTTGTGGCTGAAAAAGATCATTTAAATGTAGTGGGAAGAAATTATTACCAGGAACTGAAAGAAAGTGGATGGAAAGGAAGTGCAGAGATCTTGGAAAATGAAGGAGAAGACCATTGTTTTCACATGGAGAATCTCAGTAATGAGAAGGCTGTAACTCTTATCCAAAGATTTGTTTCTTTCATGAAAGAAGAATAATTGTTGAGGTTTTTTTTTTTTTTTTTTTTTTGATTGAAGGGATTGTCCGGTTAGTTTACGCACACCTTAACTAATCTTTTGGGTTCGAAAGTTGATAGTCGAGTAAATCCCTTTAGTTGTCACCTCTGTTAGTAACCCAAGTGGATCGAATTCAGGACCTCTTGAATAATATACCCAAAAATTCTAGTTGACCGCTGAACCACCTAGTGATAGTTATAATTGTTGAGACGTTGTTGTAACCTGGGGTTGTTTTCATGAAAAGAACAATTTGGGTGAATACTCTTTACAGACACTTTGTTTCTTAATACTTATTCCTTTATTCTGATGAACATCATATTGTTGCTCCTAATCTTTTGATCCAAAAAGCAGTGTCCAATCAAAATGCCTGGTGTTATCACCAGAAACTGATTTGAACCCAGCGAGCTCCCCTGGAGATGTTTGGCGAAAAGGATTTGTTGAAAGGACAGGGGATGGCTGTATTATGAGAAGTTGGGAAGGAATGTGGATGGAGAGGTGTTGTGGAGATTATGGGAGTTTAAAGGAGTGGGCCTGGGCTTTTATTTGATAAATCCCATTTGTGAAAATGGTGTCACTATGCTCAAACAAATTTTGTCTTTTATCAAAGAGTAAACCAGTTTTCCCACTCAAGGTTTGCCTTAATGACACTTTCCCATCCAAAGTTCATATTCCGTAAATATCCAAAATCCACTTTACTTTCTTAATTAACATTTGGCAAGTTAGCAAGAGCCAGAGTGAGAGGGGTTTTGTAAAGTGGAGGCCGGTGGATCGAATAGTGATGACCGATTAAATATTCGTTATTGGAATCAACTGGAAATCGTCTAAGAATAGAAAACTTTAGCTTTACAATGGCTAGCAATATGCAAGAAATTAGGTGCTAGAGTGAGAAGTATTTTGTAGAGAGAAGACCGGAGGTTCAAATTGTGGTGAGGGAGAGAATTTTCTGCGCCGAAATCGGTTTTGGGTCGTAACAAAATATAAACTTTAATTAAGAAAATAGTATTTGAAACTTTTGCATTGGGAAAGTGTCATTAAGGCAAACCTTGGGTGGGAAAAAGTGATTTACTCTTTATCAAATTACAAACTGTTTCTTAGATTGGACCATATCATCTTCTGATCAAAGTTTTAACCTGAAGAGATAAAGACTTGTAATGGGTAGAGGTGGCGGTGGGCCGTGTCGTGCCTAAAATTTCAAAGCCCATCGTGCCGTGCCAAGGCCCGCACAGTTTTGTGACCTGTTGGCCCATGAAATTTGAAGGCCCACGGCACGACTTATTTTCACAAAGCATGTGGTCCAGCCCACGGCACGACCCGTTATATATCATGTCGTGCCTTGGGCTGGCCAACATGCTTTGTGAAAATAATCTATTTTAATATTTATAAATTATAGTAATTTTGATTTATTATTAATAATTATTATAAAAATATTTTATATGTTATATTTAGTGACATTTTGTATTTATATTAATTAAAATATATAATCACTATGAAATATAATAAAATAATAAGATATTGAAATATTAATTGAATTTCAACACTTTTCATTATTTATAAGTTATAATTATAAATTACAAATACAAACTTAGAAATTAGAATTAAAAATTAGTATGCATATTCATTTTCATTAATTTCTAAATTCTTAAAATCTTCAAATATATCTTCAGCAACACGATTTTGAAGCTCGAAATATGCCGTCACCCAATCTTTCATACACATAATGACTTTAGCAACACGATTTTAAGTTTAAAATAGTCGTTACCCCCTTGCAAAGAGATAACTACTATTTTTAAAAATAGCTATTAATTTTATTTTTTTCGTGTCATGCCATGCCTGCCCATGGTCTTTTTTTTTTAAGGCCCATGGCACGGCCCGCATATTTTCATGTCGTGTCGTGCTTTTTTCGTGTTGGGCCGTATCGTGCTATGGGCTGATACAGCCCACCGTTGGCTCTAGTAATGGGTTACTAATCGAAGATAAATTTTATTTTCCTTCTCCAATTCTTGTTGAAGACTATTCTCTTGAAGTAAATGTACTCAAAATATATCATTGAACACAATAAATAAGGGCTGGATTAGTCAACAGCACTTGGTATGAAAAATATTGGGCTTGTCCTCGTCATATTAGCCTAGTTAGTAAATTCGCGTTTTATACGCGAATTCTTCCGGAGTCCTAGCCGTATAATTCCCGTATAAAACGCGAACTCAGTATTTTATTAGGGCTGCCGTATAATTCGCGAATTATATACCCTATCCGTATAATTTGCGAATTATACGCGAATTTTTGCCGAATTTTTGCAGACAAAAAAATAATTAAATGTTAAGGCAAAACGACGTCGTTTTGGTTGGCTTTGACTAAAATTAAAGAAAATCTTTCCTCTCCTCGGTTCTCTCTTCACAATCTCATCTCTTCTTAAATCTTCAATAATAACTCTTTTTTCTTATCTCTTGACTCTTTGAGTCTTGATCTCTTCTTCTCTTTCTTTGAAAATCTCTCCAAGCTTTAAGTCCAAGACTTCAATCTTCAAGCCTCAAGCTACACACTTCTTCTCTTCTCTTTTAACTCTCTTTGAATCGTGATGTTGGTGATTTGTTTGTGTTTGTGCTGGTGTGTGAGTAGTAGTAATAGGGACTGGTGGATTGATGGATTTGTTATGTGGTGGATTGATAGATTTGTTTGAAATATGTTTGATGAAACTTGTGGAGTTATATTTGGTATCTGTTTTAACAATATTTCATTTAGTTCTGTTGTTTGTATTGTATGGGTCAAAATGAAAAGACTAAAGACATCTATGAAAGCAAAAGGTAAAGGCAAAACTGCAAAAGAAAAGCATGAATTCATAAAAATAATATTGTCGGGCTTGGATTTGGAATTGGCAGATACTTAAAGAAGAAGAAAAAAAAACAACAAACCATCAGCTTGCAACCAACACCAACGCAAATTGTAAACCCATGTGCACTCTGTCATGTTTAGATTTCATAACACTATTATTATTGACCTTTGAATGCACTACATTAAATTCAGAACATAAAATTCAGAAAATAAAACAACTATATAATTGGAATCCAAATTTTGTATGCGTAGCTATAAAATTACGGATAAAAATACTAGTCTTAGTTATTGTTCAAATATACTTTAAATAAAAAGAAAAATAAATTGTAGGGTCGACCAAAATGGATTATTTATTGGGATGTTTTGAAAAGTGCTAAAACCAAGATTGCTATTGCCGTATTTTTCAAAACGTATTATTGACAATGTGTCGTATTAAAACCGTATATATCCGAATCGTATTTTTTCAGTCTCGAATTTTATGACCGAATTTTATAAAACGTATTTTCACCATTTACGTATTATACCCGTAAAATTCTCGTACCGTTTTTTTGCCGTACCCGTATTTACTGATAGGCAATTAGTTATTCAATCCCCTTATTCTGTGATCAAAGTAATTTGTGATTTGAAGATTCAACAGTAATACTATATTTCAAAGTAATACATAGTACTATTGAAATTTATTCAAGAGATTTTTTTTTATGATCGGAGTGTCTAGACCAGTTTACGGCTCTCAGTTAATTTCTTGGGACGCTAGAACTATCGTCATACGAGCTCAATGGCTCTCCATTAGCAACTATGTGAAAGAATCAGCATGCATGAAGAGTGGTGGAGATGGAGAATGAAAGCATGAAAGGCGGGATTCTAAAACCGGTTTTCAAGCAAAGCTTGGAAAAGAGATTATACCTACCCTTTGCTTTGGATGATGAAGATTGGTTCAAAAGAATGAAACCTCCACACTTTAACACCACCTTGAGAGATTAGAGAGTGGCCTTGGGTTTGAGAGAGAGTTTGGTTGTGTTTTTGTTTTGTTTTTCTGAACTACTCAAGAATGAACAAAAATGCAACCTTTTGCTTATATATACTTGAGCAATATTGCAATTATTTATTTTTCACTTCCAAGCCCAATAAAATCTTATTTTAAAAGGGACCCCACGAATTTAATATGCTACCCTTTGAATAATCAAAATTATTCAAGGGCCCATGTTAACAAACTAGTTTACATTAACAACCCAAAAATTTACCCCTTTTTACCCTTTAACTATTAAAAGGTTATTTTTGTTCATCTCATTAATCTTAACACTTTAAGATATAAAATATTAATAATTATTGCTTGACCATTTTAACCCTTAAAATGTCACAAATGATTTCTAGTAACTATTATTATAGAAATCCCGTTATTACCCTCGGAGGTGCTAGCCTCTTCGGATAATCATTTCTCTCTCTCATCCTTCTCTAACTTCTCAAGGCATTGGTGTGACATGTAGGTCCACCGTGGATTAGCCGTGAGCGGGTCTGGATGAATCCAGAAACCTGGCGGAGACCCAAGCTATGGTAAACATCTAGCAATGTGTTATAGTCCCTAACCCGATGAAGAAATACTTCATCAAACCCATTTCAGACATACTACCATGAGGTAAAGTCCCTCCATTGAGATATCCTAATCGAGTATGGATTCATGGAACGTCAAAATCCTAAACTCGATCTTCTACCGAATTGTCGATCAATATGTCCGAAACTTGTCATCACAAACTTACTTTTGTATGATAATAATAGACTCTGGCCAGAGATTCAGTTTTCCGACATTATCGATGTTCGTCTAGGAACTCGAATCCAGATGGAGTCAGCGGTACTCCGATCCTATATTTCGAGTCAATGGATCCCCTCTTGACCATCGTCATTTCCGCATATGAACAACGCATGACCAAATAGGTTTTATTGTATGAAACATGATTAGTCTCGTACTTATACACCGTATGAACCATACGCATCCATAGCGGATCTGACTACAATGTCTCAGGTCAAAGGACACATCGTGCACTGAATAAACCAACGATAAATCATTGACACATGCTTTTCCAAGTGATTTGTCGTTATTCAGTCACGTTCGAAAAACAGTTCCAACCGTTAATCCATACCAATGCCCCAGTGACATGACTATCATTGTCATCCGTACTTAATCAACTCATGATATCTTTCGGAAGCATCTGGTATGCCTACTGTGCAATATAGTGCGCCAAATTTATATTGCTTCCGTAGGGAACCCTTTTCGATCATCTGGACAATTCATATACATACTTTATTTTAAATGCATGACTGAATAAAGGAAGCAATTTACATATATGAATTGAAGAACTCTTTCTTCATTATTTATGATATATATAGATACAAGACAAAATGCTCTGAAACGACAACACGAATGTGTCTAGGGCCTACATAATATACACTAAACTATAGAGACTCAAACTCAAAAAACCATTTAGATCATTCTCTTGCTCTTTACTCTTAAAGGGACTCGAGCTTAGGAGATTATATTAGATTTTTCTTTTGAGAGACCATGTTACATCTTTGTGTGTTCTATCGAGCGGTGGTGGTTTATTCAAGAGAATTAATGGCAGATTGGGTTAGGCGGTGGTTTATATTAGAGAGGAAGACAATTCTAACTGATAATGCGAAACAATATGTTTAAAATGGGAATGCAGGATGGCCTAATCTATTATGCCACTCAGATGAAGAAGTTTGACACAGAAAAGGCTACTAATGGAGATGTTGGGGAAGAGGGAACGGCCATTCATACACCCCATCCTTCGTGTGACCCTTCAAAAGGATGCGCCCCGTGCGAAGTTCCTTCACATGAAAAGAGGATGGTAAGAATTCAACAGAGACATTGTTTGATGTACAAAATTGAGAAATGGAAATTAGATTCTTTTTCATGCTAGGGACACACAAAACATTGTCTAATTTAAATGATGTGTTATGAGTGGTAAAGATGTAGAACCAGTGTGAGTTATAGGAAGACTCGATCCATCGCAATCATAATGTCATCTGAACCATTGTAAGGTGTGTGGAGAGAGAGATTGCTCAGGTCAGCAGTGACATGATGAAGCACCACTGTCCAGTAGCCATTGCGGAGGGTAGGAGTAGTGTTGGCTGCAAAATGAGCTCGAGGTTGCCATGGTGTCTAGTGCTGTTCACTGGTGCAACAGGAGTTGTATTGGGGTTATTTGGCACCAAGCGAAAAGAGGGACATCTCTTGGCAGTGTGCCCCTGTAGTCCACATATCTGGCAATAACCAAGATAAGGTCGGAGGGAGGTCGTTGGCTAGAGGACGAGTTTTGTCCAGCGTTAGAAACGCGGGGGAGTGATTGTTGGTATTGGGTGAAGGACGCCAACCTGTATTGTTGTTACCAGAGTGTGTTGATGGACGCCAATTGTTGTTGGTGTTACCATAGTTGAAAGAGGGACGCCAACCTGTAGTGTTACGATTTGCAGGATTTGCTGAGGCTGGGAAATGAGAGGGTTCAGATTTGTAGCCTTGAAGAGACGCTTCAAAATTTAGAAGCTTTTCGTGGAGCTCATCAAACATGATATGGTATCCAGGCTTGAACTGCACGTATAAGCTCTTATAGTCTCCCCAAGACCATCAAGAATTTTGTCTGTGAGCTCATCTTCATCCATTGGTGCCCCAAGAATAGCAAGTTCATCAGCCCGACACTTCACCCATTGAAGAAACTCTGTACAGTTTGAGACCCTTGGTTAGATTTTTATTTGATTTTTACTGCTGAGGCGCCCTCGAGATGGCTTGGCATATGTGTTTGCTAGGATCAACCAAGCTTCTGCTGATGTTTCAGCTTTAGCAATGAACGGGATAAGTGTGGGAGAAAGAGATCCAACTAAAGCATTAAGAATCAGTTGGTCTTGTCTAATCCAAGTAGTGCGAGTAGGATTTGGTACAGTGGTGTCGTTTTGAGTGATAGTGAAGGGTGGACAAGGTTTGGATCCATCTATATATCCTAAGAGGTCATAGCCGACAAAGAGAGTGTGGAATTGAAGTTTCCAAGAAATGTAATTGGTTGTGGTGAGTTTGAGTGGGGCTTGGGCAGCGACATTGATGGAGATGAGAGATGTATTTGGTTCATTTGTGTTTTGAATAACAGGTGGAGAGTTGGAATTATTAGTTGTTGTCATGGTACTAGTGGCTGGAGAAGAGAACAGCAGCAATTAAATGCTCTGATACCATATAATAAATGAGAGAAACAAAGGAACAGAGGAGAGGAAATATGCCAGACGGCTTCTCATTAAGGTAGCAAATATATAAATACACAAGATTGTAACATATTGGAAACTTATCACTAAAGATAAGTGTACATCTATAACTTAAAAAACAAATTCAAGATTGTAACTGATTAGAAACTTATCACTAAAGATAAGTGTACATTGCAACTTAAAATACAAATTCAAAAATTAAACAAACAGAAGCAGTTACAACTCTCTGATAGTTTATTCAAGAGAAATAATGGCAGATTGCTGTTAGTATGAGCTGGTATCCAAAATATCATCAATTAAAGTCAATATTGACATAAACTGTTAAGTCAGCGTATTAAATTTTGTAGATTACGGTCAATTTGTGGGGTTTATGAAAATTGAAATTTTGAAACCATATTGCATAAACTCAGTCTTCCATCTGCATAAAAGCAAACAACAAAGGCATAAATTAAGAACAAACTTAAGATATTTTCTGCTCTTTTCTCTTAGCAATGGATCCTGCAGCCATGGAAGAAGAACTAGTCCATGACGTTTCCCCCTTCTTTCGCATATACAAAGAAGGCCGTGTCGAGAGGCTCATGGGCACTGAGTTCATCCCCACTTCTGTTGATCCCAAAACCGGTGTTGAATCCAAAGACGTTGTGGTTTCTCCTGAAATTGGTCTATCTGTAAGGCTGTACGCCCCAAAACTCCATAACCGAAACCAGAAACTTCCTCTTCTGGTGTACTTCCATGGCGGAGCGTTTTGCTTTATGAGCCCGTTCTGTGCTATCTACCATAATTACCTTAACACTTTAGTCCATGAAGCCAACGTCGTTGCAGTCTCAGTCGAATATCGAAGAGCCCCGGAGCACCCTCTGCCAGCAGCATATGACGATTCATGGACAGCTCTCAAATGGATCGCTTCTCATGTTAATGGAGATGGCCCTGAAGATTGGCTAAATTTTCTAGCTGATCTTGACAATGTTTATTTGGGTGGTGAAAGCGCTGGTGGTAATATATCACACCACATGGGCTTGAGATATGGAAAACAGAAACTTGGAGGTCTGAAACTCGCAGGAATTATTTTGGTTCATCCATATTTTGGTGGCAATGAGCCCATTGGTGCCGAGGCTAATAATTTAGAGAAAATAGAATTTACAGAGATGTTGTGGCGTTTGGCGTGTCCTGAGACAACTGGGCGCGATGATCCGCTGTTTAATCCGCTGGCTGATCCGAACTGGGCGAGCCTGGAGAACACCAGGGTTCTAGTTTGTGTTGCCGAAAAGGATTTCTACAGAGACAGGGGATGGTGCTATTTTGAGAAGTTGAAGGAGAGTGGATGGGAAGGTGTGGTGGAGATCATGGAGTCTAAAGGCAAAGATCATGCGTTCCATTTGATGAATCCCACTTCTGAGAAAGCTTTGGATTTGCTTAAACAAATTGCTTCATTCATCAATATTCGTCACAAAGCATAAAATATCAGCATTGAATTGTATTTTATTGAATAGTATTATTTACTTTCCAAAAAGTCTTGTAACAATTATGTATCGGATTTCTGTTCTAGTTTAGTTGTTTAAATTGCAGGTGCTATCTGAATTGCTTTCTGAATTGTGTATATTGGATAGGGTGTTGTTTATTATTGTTACAAAAATCCGCAACAGTAAGAGGTATCCAGTCGACCAAGATGAGATTGGTTAGGATGTGTGCATAATTATAAATAATCAGTTTGAAATAGATTAGAAAATTCACAACGGGATTAGACAAGAGATTTTTAAAGTGGTTAGGCGGGTTAAAACCAAGCCTACGTCTACTGCTGCCTTGTTATTTATGTCTGGACTACACACAAGCAGATTAAAAACCGTAATGGCGAGCTAGTGCCCTTCCTAAGTGGTTCCCTATGCTCAAGTATATTTTTTCTAGGATCCTCAAAATGAAGATGATGCCTCCTTTTTATAAAGGACTTTTAATAGTGGTTGGAAGTTGATAGATTACGAGGTGGATTACACAGCATAATTCTCTATATTCCGGATTTGAGTTAGCCTTCACCCATACTTAAGTCAGAATAATCATGCTTAGGACTGATGAGTTTATTGGTTAAGTCATCCGTTGTGGGAGTGACACGTGGGACAATTTTAGTCGCTCGATCTTGATACGGTTTATGGACAGGTGGCACAGATCTAGCCGTTATAAAATCACGCACAACATTTATCATTTCAATTTGTTTATTCAACTTAGTCAAATTTTTAGGAAAGTGAAACAAAGTTATATATACAAGACTATATAATAATTTATCTTATCTTATTTTCTACTTTTCAACCCTCCAAAGGACATAGTGAAATTCTGAGTAAAGAAAGCGCCATTAAGTATTAAAGATCTCAAGGCCAGCAACCTCCATTTGTAAGTTAATTCAATAGTTTCAGAAGCATAAGATAATGTATTTTAATAGGAAGTCAGACAAACCTGGCAGATTTTGATCTGATTAATTTCCAAGAACTTGCATATTAATGTTTTTCATTTCTGAATAAAAGGTAGACAGGATGTGGTAAGTGGTAAAGGTTTTATGCAAGTCAAGTTGGACTGAGAGGTGTTATCTAACGATTTATATTGTTAAATCATATAAATTGTTTATGGAAAATTATACATTTTTAAATATCTTCAATTAATATTCACCTACCTGAAAGGGTTCTATGCAAGTCAAGTGGGATTAGGGGTGTCAAGCGAGCTGAGCCGCTCGCGAGCAGCTTGGGCTCGGCTCGACCTTGAGTGGCTTGCGTGCCGAGTTTGAGCTTCCCAATACTCAGCTCGAGCAACTGGCGAGCTTACTCGTGCTTGACAGGGGATATATACAAGTTTTACAACTATTACGGGGTCTTTGTAATTTACCATTTTGCTTTCTTAATTATGTCAAAGTGACATTTACATCCCATTTCAATTCAAATATCAAACCCTAAATTGTAATTCTCTCCGTGACTGTGAATCCGCTGCTCGCTTCATGATCCAATCTGATTCTTGCATTTTCTAGATGGAAATATAATTTCAAGCGATGCCCAAAATTTTGTTCTGGAGGTATGCTTCCATTTGTTTCAAGTGGTGGCCAAAATTTTGTGATTATACTTTTACACAGGTAAATCGAGCGAAGCTCGAGCTCGATCTCGAGTTCGAGTTCAAACTTGGGCTTGGCTCAATTGCCTGTGTAGATCGAGCTCAAGCTCCAACTGTTCAAGCCGAGTCGAGCTCGAGCTTGAGCTTCCCAATACTCGACTCAATTCGGCTTGATTACACCCATAAGTGGGGCTGAGAGGTGTTGTCTAACCTTTTATACTGTTAAATCACACACAACATTTATCATTTCAATGTGTTTATTCAAGTTAGTCAATTTTTAGGAAAGTGAAACAAAGTTATATATACAAGACTATATAATAATTTATCTTATCTTATTTTCTACTTTTCAACTCTCCAAAGGAGATAGTGAAATTCTGAGTAAAGAAATAAGATACTGAATTTTAATAAGAAGTTAGACTAACCTAGCTGAATTTGATCTGATTAATTTCCATGAACTTGCACATCAATGTTTTTCGTTTCTATATAAAGGTAGAAGGCCTCCATTTTCTCTACTTCAATTTGGATTCAAGCTCACCAGCAATGGAAGAACTAGCCCATGATTTCTCTCCCTTCATCCGCGTATACAAAGACGGCCGAGTAGAGAGACTCATGGGAACTGATATACTCCCTCCATCTTCAAACGGCACTGTTGAGTCCAAAGATGTTGTCTTTTCACCAGAAACTGGTCTATCCGCCAGGCTTTTTGCTCCGAAAATCCGAAACCCCGATCAAAAACTCCCTCTTCTTGTGTACATTCACGGCGGTTGCTTTTGCTTTGGAACCCCGTTCTCCGCCACCTACCATAATTACTTAAACGCTTTAGTTCATGAAGCCAACATCATTGCAGTCTCGGTTGATTACAGAAGAGCGCCGGAGCATCCTGTCCCTATTTGTTTTGACGATTCATGGACCGCCCTTAAATGGGTCGCTTCTCATGTTAATGGAACTGGTCCTGAAGATTGGCTAAACAATTTTGCTGATCTTGAAAAGGTCTATTTTGCGGGTGATAGTTCTGGTGCTAATACAGCACACTTCATGGGATTGAGATATGGCCAAGAAAAACCAGAGGGTGTTAAGGTTGCACGGATTATTTTGATACATCCGTACTTCTGGGGCAGTGAACCGATCGGTGCAGAGGTTAATCACTTGGAGAGAAGAGAATTTGTAGAGAAATTCTGGCGTTTTGTATGTCCTGTAACAAGTGGGTGCGATGATCCGTTGTTTAATCCTGTGGCTGATCCGAAATTGGCGAGTCTGGAGAGCTGTAGAGTGCTGGTTTGTGTTACTGAGAAGGATTTGTACAGAGACAGGGGATGGTTCTATTATGAGAAGTTGAAGGAGAGTGAATGGAGAGGTGTTGTGGAGATTATCGAGACGAAAGGAGAAGATCATGTCTTCCATTTGTTCAATCCCAGCTCTGAAAATGCTGTAGCTTTGCTCAAACAAATTGGTTTTTTCATCAATCAGAAGATTCAAGAGAAGGCCTGACTGTTGCTGGCATTCTATAGCAGCATCTCTCAGTATTAGAATTATGGTTTTTAACATTTTCCTTTTAAGCTTTAATGCAATCGCATAGACTGTACTGAAAGCTTCAATGAATAAATCAATTTTGATGTGATTGAGAATAACTTTATTAACTATTGGTCCAAATTCCTTTATTTATTTATTTTTTTTGTCATCTTTGCTAACTTCATACAGTAAAATCCATTAATGGATTTGCCAATACCGTGCCTTTACTTCAAAAATTCTTTTGCAAAAGATAATACAACTGAATTTTTGTGTATGCCTTCCTTGAGGGGGATAATATATTGAGTAAACGAATTTTTCCCACCCAAGGTTTGTCTTAATGACACTTTTCTGCCCAAAGTTAATATTCTGTTGCTATTCAAAGCCGATTTTAGCCGATTTCGATGGGAAAAATTCACTCTGTCATCACCATTTGATTTCTTGCCGACTATCGACCATCGTAAAGCTAGGGTTTTCTGTTCTTAATTAATTTTCGGTTGATTCCGACTTGGAATATTCAATCGATCATCACCATTTGATCCACTGGCTTCCACTCTACAAAATCCCTCTTATCTTGCCTCCTAGTAACTTGTCAAATGCTGATTAAGAAAGTGAAGTGTATTTTAAGTATTAACAGAATATAAACTTTGGGTGGGAAAATGTCATTAAGGCAAACCTTGGATGGGAAAAAGTTGTTAATCATAATATATTGTATCCATCAATCATATAGCAATCATATTGACCAGATATTCATAGTAATATATTAATTATATTTTTATTATTTGGTTCTCTCGTAAAAGCTTTTAATTTGGCCAGATATCCTTATCCCCAGTTAGACTTATTTAACACCATGGTTCGGAAGTGCACGAGAAATTTCAAATATTTGACTACAGTGTGGCTACTGGCCAAAATATTCGTTATCTCGTGTTTTGAATCTCGAAAATATTCGAAAATTAATTTATGTATATTTCTTGTCCTTTTTAACACATAACTTGCGTTGAATTTTCCTCACCGGTAACAATTCATCCAAATAAACCACCCGAGTCCGGTCAGGTATAAAGACTATTGAGTATTTTATTCAAGATATTTTGAGTTTGATTTCTTTTAATTGTTAATAAAGGTGACCAATAGAGAGTTTATCCGATCGTTAATTTCAAGATTCTAAGGATTAATTGCTAATAGGGGTAGCCACCAAAGAGTTTACCCCATCGTTAATTTTAGGACCCCAGAGAATTAGTTGCTAATAGGATGGCTATTAGAAGGTTTATCCATTCATTAACGTTAGGACTCCAAAGGTAATTAGGGTGTGTGTAAACTGATATGGATACTTTCGATAAAAAANTCGGCTTGAGCAACTAGCGAGCTTACTTGAGCTTGACAAGGGATATATGCAAGTTTTACAACTATTAGGGGGTCTCTAATTTACCATTTTGCCTTCTTAGTTATGTCAAAGTAGCATTATATCCCATTTCAATTCAAATATCAAACCCTAAATTGTAATTCTCTCCGTGACTACAGAAGAGCGCCGGAGCATCCTGTCCCTATTTGTTTTGACGATTCATGGACCGCCCTTAAATGGGTCGCTTCTCATGTTAATGGAACTGGTCCTGAAGATTAGCTAAACAGTTTTGCTGATCTTGAAAAGGTCTATTTTGCGGGTGATAGTTCTGGTGCTAATACAGCACACTTCATGGGATTGAGATATGGCCAAGAAAAACCAGAGGGTGTTAAGGTTGCAGGGATTATTTTGATACATCCGTATTTCTGGGGCAGTGAACCGATCGGTGCAGAAGTCAATCACTTGGAGAGAAGAGAATTTGTAGAGAAATTCTGGCGTTTTGTATGTCCTGCAACAAGTGGGTGCGATGATCCGTTGTTTAATCCTGTGGCTGATCCGAAATTGGCGAGTCTGGAGAGCTGTAGAGTGCTGGTTTGTGTTACTGAGAAGGATTTGTACAGAGACAGGGGATGGTTCTATTATGAGAAGTTGAAGGAGAGTGAATGGAGAGGTGTTGTGGAGATTATAGAGACGAAAGGAGAAGATCATGTCTTCCATTTGTTCAATCCCAGCTCTGAAAATGCTGTAGCTTTGCTCAAACAAATTGGTTTTTTCATCAATCAGAAGATTCAAGAGAAGGCCTGAATGTTGCTGGCATTCCATATCAGCATCTCTCAGTATTAGAATTATGGTTTTTAACATTTTCCTTTTAAGCTTTAATGCAATCGCATAGACTGTACTGAAAGCTTCAATGAATAAATCAATTTTCATGGCATTTGATGATGTGATATGAGAATAACTTTATTAACAATGGGTCCAAATTCCTTGTTTTTTTTTTTCATCTTTGCTAACTTCATACAGTAAAATCCATTAATGGATTTGCCAATACCATGCCTTTACTTTAAAAATTCTTTTGCAAAAGATAATACAACTGAATTTTGCCAATACCATGTCTTATTACTGAAAACAACCGCCGTTTTCAGGCCTTATCATCCTGAAGATCAATTATTGTTGTAGAAGTCCGCAGTTTTCTTCATCATAGCCTTAGCATTTTCACAACCAGGATTGAACAAATGGAAAACGTGTTCTTCTCCATTGATCTGCACAACCTCCACGTCACCTCCCCACCCACTTTCCTTCAACTTCTGATGATAATACCACCCTCTTGCGCATAGCAAATCCTTCTCCGCCACAAAAACCAGAACCCGCCTGCACCCCAGCTTCGCCAGGTTCGGATCCACCACCGGATTTATCCACGGGTCATCGCACCCGGTTGTTTCCGGATACGCAATTCGCCACAACGCCCCAACAAACTTTCTTTTGTTTTCATCAGCTGTCTCATTAGCCACAGCTTCGTTGCCCCAGAAATATGGATGACATAGAACAATTCCTTCAACGTTGACGCCTTCAAGTTTTTCCAGGCCGTGTTTTATGCCCATCCTGTGCGCTATATTGGCGCCGGCACTGTCGCCAGAGAAAAATACTTTCTCAAAATCAGCGTGAGAGTTGAGCCAATCTTCAGGGCCCGATCCGTTAACATGGGAAGCGACCCATTTGAGGGCAGTCCATGAATCGTCGTAAGCGCAAGGAAGATGATGCTCCGGGGCTCTTCTGTATTGAACTGAGACGACGACGATGTTAGCTTCGGCGACCAAGGAGTTGAGGTAATTGTGGTAGAGAGGGGAGAAGGGGGACTCGATGCAGAAGCCTCCGCCGTGGATGTAAACAAGAAGAGGAAGTTTTTGGTTTTGAGAGACGTTTTTGGGGATGTAAAGCCTGACGGTGAGACCATTTTCTGATGAATATACAAGGTCTTTGGATTCGACGTTCGTTTTGGGATCAAGAGATGTGGGCACGACGTCGTTTCCGGTGAGCCGGTTTACTTTGCCATCTTTGTAAACTATGAGCATGGGAGAAAAATCATAGGCTACTTCTGGCTGAGTGGAAGCCATAGCAATGAAGAAGAAGAGTGCAGGAAGAAAATATAGAGAGCTCCGTTTGGTATAGAGTGGATGGGGATAAGTGAGAGGATTAGGAAAGGCCGTTTCTCTTCATATATATTGAATTATGACGTATTAATTAGGTTCAATAATAATATTAATAATAATCAAAACATTTTCTCTGGTACATGCATAAAATGAAGACAGGATGTGATAAGTGGTAAATGCAAGGAGTATGGGGATGGGCCATTTAATATGTTTCCAAAATAATCAAATAAATAATGAGACTAAACTTTTTTTACACTTTTCTACTTAAAAAGTTTTAAAATACCAATTTACTACCCAAAATTTATATTCCGACCAATCACCAACCGATTCCAATATCGTTGGATCACACACCACCACCATTCTTTTTCCCAATCATTACTCATCAAAACCCCTCAAATCCTGCACCTGCCTATCTTGCCAATAGCCAACAATAGAGCGATTTATGGAACGCGCAGTCGCCCATCCCAAGCCAAATTTTGACAAATTCCAACTACCAAAATCCAATCTTCTACCACCAAAAGATTCATCAATATCTTCTCTTTAAAAACCCCAACAATCCGAATGGAGTTTACTCTCTGTTCACCACTAAATCAGAAAGTGTATTCTAGATAATGCACAAAATATAAATTTTAGGTAATAAAATGGTATTTGGAAATTTTTTGGGTGGAAAAGTGTCATTATAGCAAACCTTGGGTGGGAGAGAATATTTACTCTGAATAATGACGACAAAGTTGCTTTCCTTTGGGCCCATGACATCCAAGGCAATGACAGTGAAATTCAATAATATTTAATTTCTCATAATGAATGTGACAGAAATTGGATGAGCAATTGGAATTGCTTTTTACAACATTTTTGACCTATCCAACACCTTTGATCTTTTGTTTTAGGGCAAAAGTTTGTCATCCTAATTGCTTCTTCTTTTCCTTTTTTGACCCCTTGTTTATTCATTATTCACAACCTCATTTTGAGTAGAATAATATATATATTTTTTAATCAAGGTATTCAAACAACTTATGTACACCTCGACTAATCTTCGATAGAAACTAGTTTAAATCGTGGATGCCCAGATGAGGAATCGAACTTAAGACCGTGTATCTATCTACACTATCCCTAATTTGTCTTAACCATATGGGCTATTTTGAGTAGAATAATATGATTATTCCTAAAGGATATTTCAAATTTCTTATCTCAAATGATGCGTTCCTAATGTGGCTTTGATGTGTGAATGATGAGCTGAGGCATAAAATGATATGTAAATGCCAATACACATTATTTGGGATGAAAAATTTGGGATTTTATTTGAGAAGAGTATTATTACTATTTTGAGTAATGCTGCAATCACTGTTGAATCCACAGTCATATAATAAATGGCTTATGATAGTAACGATACCCCATTATTAGAAAAAATTCATAAATAAAAAATTATACTTGAATTTTTTTGAAATTGATTATATAATTTAAAAACTAACCATATACTTTGATTTATTGCGTGGGCGGATTAAGTTGTTCAACCATTTTTTCCACTAACACCTTTGACCTATGTGCACCAAATCAATGTTAATTTAAAGGGAGAACGATTTTTCCCACCCAAGGTTTGGCAAAATGACACTTTCTCACCCGTCAAGTTTCAAAATGATACTTTCCCATCCTTCGTCAAAATCTGTTATGTTTTTTGTTAATATTTGACTGAAAAGACGAAAATACCCTTAAAGATTTGACTTTATAAATTTTTTTTTATTTTTGAATTAGCCAAAAAGTAAGATATTAAAAAGTCAAAAAAGAAAAAACAGTTAACCCCAACTAAAAAGTTAAGAGTAATACTATGAAATTGTTTAAAATTAAATGAGCTTAATATTTATTTATTTATTTATAATGTCGTAATATCTCATTACTATTATTCAATAATCTACTAATATAATGTTTTTCATTTTTATTAATTAACATAGAAAATCTTAATAGTTAATATTCCTAATTAATTAAATAAACAAAGGAAAAAATGTATCTTTACACTTGAGTAAAGGCTTTAACTTAACTAAATTTTAATTTATAATAAACTATTTAAGGGTATTTTTGTCTTTTAGTCAAATATTAACAGAAAATACTAACGGAATCTAACGAAGGGTGGAAAAGTGTTGTTTCTCCAAACCTTGGGTGGGAAAATGTTGTTCTCCCTAATTTAAACACAATTAATTTACAATGATTTAGTTAACCTAAACCAAACTCTCACTTATAGAACTTTGATATTTACAATTATATGAATTTATTATATAGTTTTTTGTTTTGCAAAAAACATGTATGGTCAATAAAGCTAGCAATTAAATAGTAACACCTACTTTTGGTGTTGTAATTAATTAATAAAACATTTGGTTAACCCACAAGCATGTATGAAATAATTGGTGAGTCGGTCACCCATAAAGACAGTGATTAAATGCACATTCAATACATATTCAAAGTAGGTTTACTCATTTGAATGTTTCTTGTTCATAAGTTGATCCAATAATTTTCTTTTTTAAGAAAATACTATAAAAAAAAGCCCCATATAAAAATCTTTGATCCTAACCACTTGGTTTGTGATCGAATGACAAGACCTTAGTTTACTCAAAGGTTTTATGCTCGAGTCCTTCCAAGTGACCACTTATTGTATNGTTCTCTAACTTTACCTTTTTCTTTTCAAAAGAGACGAGGTTAATTGGATCAATTGGGAAGTGAGATCCATAATCTGTCGTCTCATTAGATAAAAAATTTCAAAGTAAAAAAAAATGATATGTACAGTACTCACTCTGGCATCACATGGGATGGACTAAATAAATCCGAATAATATTTGTCGTGATAAACGATTTGAGTGCAATATCTGCATTTCTCACCGTTGTGCCTAATTCCTCGCGGTCAGATTTCCACCACGCGTCCTCAAAGTGTATCAAAGACTGACGGCCCTGGATCCTCCTATGTGCGGTCCTATCAGCGTTTGTCTTTTCGTACAAGATGATTACTGTAGCATGGTTTCGGGCTGTCACAAATACAAAAATTGTTGACTTAGATCCTAACTAAGAGGATTTTGCGTTCAAGCAATCCCGTAACACTCACTCTTAACCTGTAATACTTTCTTTTTAGTTAATATACTCGTAAAATAATTAATAAAACTCATTAGAAATATATATAAGGAAATACACATATAATTGAGTAATAAAGTATAGGTCCATATTTATAAAATGATATATAATTTCTCATTTTGCCCTTATATTTTCTTTAAAATTTTATCTATGTCTCTTAATAAATTACCATAATACCCTCATTTTTATTGCATTCTTTATGAAATTCTATCTTTTTTTACTCCCCACTTTTTCAACTAATTTTAAGTGAAAATATCATTTTACACTTAATGCAAGTTTAAAGTATTTTCTTCATATTTTCTCAAAATAACTTAAGCAAAAATCAACTAAAGATACAAGAGTATAAATTAAATTACGTACCCTTATGTGGGTGTTATACAACCATTATCAGATGAATCAAGTATAAAAGGAGCTCACGACCTCCGTTTCAGGGGATTTCAATATTAATAAAGTCTAAGAGAAAAACACATTGACCTGTTTTAGAAAGTGTTAAGAGAGAATCGATCGCGAGAGCTGAATGTCATTCACTTATCTCGCAAACTTCCCTTTGCCCGGTTATCTCTTGTTGGTACGAAATTTAGCATCAAAATTCATTAAATCCCACTCACTTTACCTTTCAAAACCTTGGCCTACATTCCCTCTCTGTTTGTTGCGTGAATAAGTCTAGAAATGAGTCATTAGTTGTCGCAAACTCGCAATGCGCCACATTACTTTTCAACCATCTCGATTAGACGCTTGTCCCAATACCAAATTTTCTTTCACTTACCAATTATACGCTAAAACAGGGACAACTACGCCAATCAACCTGAACTTGAGCCCTTTAGGCTTCTATGAAAGAAGTTAAACAAGGATTTACATGAATTTCATTTAAATTAAAAAAAAAAAAAAACCAATATAATATGAACAGAATAGGGAAAATAAAGAAAAAACAAAAAATTGGCCCATTGGCCCAAATCCTGGGAACCGAAACCAGAACTAGAGCCGACTGTTCCCAGGATTTAAGAACCGAAACCGGAATCAATCGTTTCGGTTCCTAAATACCTATAACAGGTTTCGGTTTCGGTTTCGGGTACCCACCGACATTGTTCACATAAAATTACAAATACATCTCTATTATTCACAAAAATGACAAATATACCATCTAAAAATTAGTACACCCCCAATTGTTTACAAAAATTACAAATACAACCCGAGGACCCGTCGGTTCCACCCCAGGTACCTAGACCTGGGTTCCTATTTCGGTTCTTGGTTCTGGTTCCGATTCCGATTCCTAAAGTGGTGGAACCAGAACTGAAACCGTACAGTGTCAGTTTCACCAAATTTGGAACTGGACTCAACAGCCTAGATACCTATTTGTTCCGGTTTTACCTTACAAATTTGCTCACCCCTATTAGAAAGGTCAAGAATTTACTTAACTTGCCATAATGAAAATTTATTTCTCAATTTATAAAAAAATAAAATAAAATAAAATACAAGGACAAGAATTAACAAGGGCTGAAAGAAAACTTGGTCAATTACGAGCCACAATTACAATTGATTGATTAATAGATATTTTCCCTCGCTACAATTACAAACAGGCTCGGTTAGGTCAGGTGAGGTCAGTCCCACTCGTTTAATCAAACCCCTCCAAAACCCAACCAATCAAACCCTCCCGTATATCACAACACGCAACGCAACGCAACGCAAGAACGAAAACGAAATCAAAACGCAACACTGTAGCTTAGGGTTATCCACCTGACAGTCAGTAACAATGGAGAGAACGGCTTTGCTTCGCTCTCTCTCGTGTTCTTCTCTAGCTTGCAACAAATATTACTTCCGCTCTTCTCACAAGCTCTCGCAATCTCTCATTTCTCGCGCTTCATCATCATCATCATCATCATTGTCTGCCGCCAGGAGAAATCAGCTCCGTCTGATTCCCAACCTCAGTAGACGCTCG